CAGAAGAACTTAGCAAAGGTGACATTAACCAAAATGAAGAAAGTGGTTGTGCTTAAAAGGATGATGATGTCCTGAAGGAAATGACATTGTCAAAAAACTTCACATTAAAGGAAATCTCAAAGATATTTTACAACACTGAAAGTGCAAATAATAAAATGTGTGAAGCCAATTCAAACTTAGAAAGAAATAGGATAATTCACTATGGCCCAGAAAAGTTCCTTGCTCCATAACAGACAGCAAGCACTGTTTAAACTGCTCTTGAAATGTCTTTCTTAACAGAGAAATAAAAGATTTTTAATTCTAATTTACAGTGTATTAATTATTGTTTTACTATTTCTTTCACCTCTATCAATTTCTAAGCTATCGTAAAAATTAAGTTTTGACAAATTTTTTTAAAATACTGTAACAATTATTTTTCCTATGGATTATTGATTTGCACAATTTCAGCTTACACAGGCATTTTTACAGTCCTGCAATACCGTATAAAGCAAATACTTTATATATATATATGATTATTTATGATATAAATATATATTACACATGCCAGAGATTGTTTCATAAGCACGAATTGTGTAAGTATCTTTATATGTTCCTGACAACTTGTTTTTGGTACTCATTACCTCTTACATAGAAAGTTATAAATCTACCATTCACTTCCCCATTTTCTCATCTTGCTAATCAACCCACAGTGTCCTTTCATGTGAATCTTTCTGAAATACATTTGTTGTCATGTTGTAGCCTTTCTCAAAAATGAATAATGAAAAGCGTCTGTGAATTGTATTAAATAAGAATATATTCCTGCTATCCTACTTTTGGTCATGCTACCTTCTCCACCAATGTCTCATTTTCCTTTTATCATCTTCCATTTATTATATGAATGTATATATTGAAAAATGAATGAATTAGCAAATATTTACTGATACAATATTTTATAAACATTAAATCAATTAACATTTTCCAAAATGTGATTCTTGTACATAAGGCAATGTGTTAAATGATCTATTATGGTGCTAGAAGGAAATATTAGAACTTCTTAAAAGAATAAATATTCAATTTATTTTTTTAAAATCACAAATACAAAACAGAACTAAGCTTTAATATTTAAGTAGGTATTGACATTCTTATGGTGTTCTCATGTCAAACAGTCACAAGTAGAAGGCAGAGTGGGAGTTCTGCACAGTCAAGGAAATTCTCCCATGCTTGTTCATGCTCAGCACATTGCAATCATTTAGACTTCATACAAATACAGTTGAACTGGATTTATATATTATATAATCTTGTTTAAACTAAATCTCTCTTCACTAAATAAAAAAGAAATTTAAATTCAATGAGGACAAAATGAAGATAAAAAGATTTATGTGGAGAGAGTTGGGACAAATAAATGACACTTGACATGCTTACCTCTAGCGTTAGGAGCTAAAAATTGATCTACCCAGAATTCAGCCAAACAACATTCAAAATTATTCAGAAGAAATCACAGCAGTAAATATTAATATGCACTATTGTTAATAATGAATTTTAACTTTAGTGTACATTTTTCCTGGAGATTTTTTGCTCATGGTAGCTTGGATATATCATAGGTGGCAAAATGTTAAAATTTAGCACCCAGAACATAAAGTCAGAATTATGCAATATTTTAGCAATGTTACAAATTATGTGTACATTTTGAATCTGACAAAATTTTACCAATTTAGCAATAAATGAATAACAAAAGACAGAAGTCCACATTTGACCGAGGTAATATATTTTCTTCATATAGTGGAAATTGGCTAAAAGAGATGATGTGAAATAAAAGACAAAATGTATTGCTTGTTATCACATTTTCGTTAGACGTAGAGACGTTAGGAATATAAAGAAACTCTGATTAGAACTAATCACTTAGAGGGAAAGGTTTTCTCTATAGCTGAATGGAAGTTCAGGTTTTAAACATGTCTTAGCTTATGATATCTGCAATATTCTATTTTAATAATGGAAAAATCACATTCTCTGAACTACTAAAGGAAATGTTCACTAAGTAAAACACGAACTCATCAAAATGTGAGGAGTTAAAGTGATAAATTATAAACAGAATTTATAAATATATATTTATTATAAATAGAATTTATAAATATATATTATAAATAGAATTTATAAATATATATTATAAATAGAATTTATAAATATAGTTTATAAATGTATTTTATAAATAGAATTTATAACTTATGGGGAAAAATTAAAGGGTAATTTTTATATAATGGTTGACCAGAATTCAAGCAGAGTTTAAGAATTACTTTATAGAAATAGCATCATATATGAAATACACTCATTTGCAATATTCATAAGCAAGTTTATTACAGCAAAGATGTAAAAGTTTTAAACCAGAAGTGGAAAGCAGTTATCAAAAACAGATCACACTCTAGTATTACAACGGCATGTGACAGACAGTGCAGAGCCGGACGGGAACGAAGTCGGACGCGCCTATTCTTGGAACAATGTCTCTCCAAGGAGAAGCCTGGAAGGCCTCTACATGGGTCATTGCTAGCTGGTGAGGCTCGACAGTGTTCCAGGCGACAGAGAGAGGAGGCGAATCCAAGAAGTCCTGAGGGACATAAGGAAGGCCAGCTGGCAGCTGGAGAGGCCCCTCTGGGCTCCAGGAGGCAGTGACCACTGGTCACTGGAACAGCGGCGGTATTTTGCTTTGAAGAACTACTTTGTCAGCGCAGTGATGGGTTGTGCGCGGTGAGTCAAAAATAAAGAATACGCAAAGTACAACCAACACCACAATCCAAACAATACAAGAACAAGTCGAATCATTACTCAAAAATTTTAGCGCCAAGTCAATGCAAACAAAAGCAAAAGCAGTGATAGATACTTTTATTAAAAAGCTGGAAGAAAACTACAATTGAAAAATGCAGATTTGATTTACCATCAATTAAGGAAGTATTGGATATGCCGGCAATATGAAGAGACCAGACTGATTGGACTGATTCTTAAAATGATACTGTTTAAAGATGTAGAATTCAATATTTTATGCTTTCTTTAATAAAAACAGAAGTATTTAAACTTGGGGGAAAAAAGAAAAAACAAACAAAAAACACCAGATCCCTTAGAATCATAACGTTTTATAAAGAGATAAGGCATAATAATATTTTACACCCTACATATTTACTTGTGATCCCATGGTGTCATGTTTAAAGAATTGTCAAATTTAAGGATGAGCTACATATTTTTCCATTAGAAAAGGACACGTTTTCCAACTCTATTAATTTATTATTAAACAAATACAATTTAATAATATAAGTCTGAAATTTATTATTTAAAATATTTTATAATATGCAAGCGCTTCAGGAAAGACAATAAGAAGTACTTTTTCAGTCTCATAAAGAAAATTTTGGCATTCACTAATGAATAAGAAAGCAATTGGCATCTGAAAGAAACTCCGTATGGAGAGGCTTATTTGAAAATGTTTCCATTTTCTTCAAACCACTGCAATTGTGTCACCTATACAAACACTTATCTGCCTACTTTTACTGGAAAACAGAATTTTCTAATCAGTTTCAAAATATTCCACGTGAAAAATGTCAGTAAGTTTTAAACTAACTGGTAAAAATGTAAAATGAAATACTATCCAAGTTATTTGAAATAAAATTAGATTGCCATCAAGGATGAAGAATATTTTACAGCAGTCTATATTCAATACTTTTGAGTACTGGTAGATAAAACCGAAAAATGAGTTCATGATTTGTTAAGCATTAAATGATGCACTTCTATTTAGTTATACATATATTTGTGAGGGATATTTGGGATTCTTGGCATTTTTAGAGCCACTGAAGCTGAACCTTGATCTTTGCTTTGAACATGTAGTATCATATATTGTAATATCATGTTTTCAATAAGAATAAAGAATATTCATTTTTCTACTCCAAATATTATTAAATAAATATATACTTTATTAAACAGATATATGTATGATACTTGACATTTATTGTATAATTAATGAATAAAATTAGTTTTAATACTATGATTTATCTTTAGATGATTCATTTCATTATGAAAATTATTTAATATATAATAAATACTACAAAATGTTATTTGTAATATTTTAGAAACAGAAAACATTTTACTGTAGTATATTTGTATCATTTGCAATTTAATAATATTTATGATATGTGATAGGTATAATGTAATACAATATTTTCCATGTTTATAGCATTCTTTTGCATTTATTCTAGTTTTTATGTGTATTTCACGAGCATATAAAATATACCATGCTGTGGCACATTTAAATAATTTATGAATATAGAGATGCAAATATATTGAGAGAAACACGCTAAAAACTATTTTTCTAATAGGATTCTGCTTTCAAGACTTTGGTGCTTCAAAGCCTCGTTTTTGAGAAGCCACCATTTTGAAGATTTCTCTCTTTTGTCCTCTTTTAGAAGTGTTTCCTTCATTGTCTAAACTTTCATGTTCTTTTATTGAAACATGTTACCCACTCTGTTGTGGTATAGTCATTTTTATCCAGCCATTATCTTTGCTAGGTTACAGATTACCTAAGAGTGGGTCTTGCTTATCTTTGGAGTTAACTCAGCCAACAGCAGAGTGGTTAGTATGCAACTAGTGGCACTCGGAAATAATACTGAATGATCTCAGGGCTTGCAAATATATATGAAGCCATATTACAAATAATTCTTTATTCTACTTGCAGAACACATTCTATTAGGTAAACAGGGATTAAAAATTACATCACTTGAGCTTCTTGCCAAAAATTCTCGCTAGGATACTCCACATCAACTCTAAAGACTTATGTTTTTAAATTGTTGCTATATAATGATCCTAGCCTTGATGATAATCTTCTTACTGGTATATATGGGAAACAGACACCAAAGCTGAAATATGACCAATGTGCATAATCACTCAAATAAATAGAATAAAACTATTGGCTTCAATATTGAATAACAATTTATTGACTTGTTGGCTTAATTTGCATAAAGATTGAAATTTTATAAATAGTCAAAGCCATGTACTTGTTTGTAGAAATTGCTAAGGGCAAAAGGGGAGCTGGTCTAAATATGAACATCTTCAAGACTTTACTCATATGCACAGGTTTATATAAATTTGATGTTTCATTTGTTTTTAAGGAAATTAAGCTTAATTGTTAGTTAAGGAATTTGAATCCCTGCTGAGATCCTTTTAATTCATTGAATATTTCTTTCTGGTTTTTATTATTGGTGTTTGTGTTTGTGTGTGTGTATGTGTCTGTGTGTGTGTGTGTGTGTGAGAGAGAGAGAGTGATATTATATAATGAACAAAAAACTCAACTCTTAATCCTGGATTATTTTAGACAGTATTCTTTTTCCATAAGAGTCTTCTTTTTGTAGAGTAATTTGCTATGTAAAAATATTTCTCTGTTACATGACAGAAAGTCATATAAAATATTATTTATCAGTTTATTAATATTTTAAACATTAAGTTATTTTTTATATTTCTTATATAATTTCCTTTTAGTCATATTACATATTCTGGGAATAAGTTTCAGAATATGCCTATTTCTGTTTTCCACTGTAGAGGTACAGCATCATGTAATTTATATTGGGTTGGATATTTCTTATATATAATATTTCCTTTTAGTCATATTACATATTCTGGTAATAAGTATTAGAATATGCCTATTTCTGTTTTTCACTGTAGAGGTACAGTGTAAGATCACAATTAAACCAAAAGCAGATCTTTTCTTTCTAATAAAAAGAAAAGCAGTGAAAATAATTAAGAAAATTAAGAAAGCTAATTTCCTTGATTTTTTAAATTAGCATTTTAAATTGTAATACAACAAACTTCATTAAAATATAGCTTATGTGAGCATGTGAAATGATTTCACTGAAATGGTCAAAAAACTGACAGAAGAAATTAGTAAAACTTGCTTTTGAAATAATCATTCTGTATGATAATTGTTAAATTCATGTTGGTGAAAGGAATAAAGATATATTATAGCTGGGATCTAAACTTGTACTCTCCTGCAAGTTTGTTCTGCAGTTTATTACTAAAAAACCATACTGATATGTTAGTTAAGAAAAAAACCTTACTCAGTTTTAGATGAAACTTTTTACCCTACTCCAACTTCAGCTATGGTTGTAGTGTATCGAGAAAAACACATGGAAATACTGATAAAATATTGATTGTTGATAAAATTGTTCATTTTAATATTTTTTCTTGGTGTTAAGAAGTCTTTGTATTACTTCATCAGTGTTTTCACACATTAAAGCAGAAATTCAGATTTTAATTAACTCAGTGAATTTGCCTGAAAATATGCTTCCTGGAACACAACTAAGTCGTGCTTATGATAAAGATGTGGCTGGAAAGGGAGATGTCTACCATTTTCTGAATAAAACAAAGGATTTTGTCATTGATGCCAGTAAGTAATATGTGACATTTATATGTTTATTTGCTTTATAGTTATTACTTTTTAATTTTATTTTTATAATTGACATAATAATTGTACATATTTAGGGGGTACATAATGTTGTTTCCACACATATAATTTATAGTGATCAGATCAGAATAATTGGCATATCTATCATCTCATACCTTTATCACTTCTTTGTGTCTGTAATAGTCAATATCCTCCTTCTAGCTATTTGAAACTATATATTATTTTTAACTATAGTCATACTACAGTGCTTAGTACCAGTGCTTAACACCAGAACTTATTCCTCCTACCTAGCTGCAATTTTGTAGCTTTTAACAAGTCTCCCTATCCCTCCCTTCCTTCCTTCCTTGTATTTCTCCCAGTCTCTAGTATCCTCTGTTCTACTTATTACTTCCATGAAATCAATATTTTTTAGCTTCGACGTATGAGTAAGAACACATTTAAAGTTTAGACTTTAAAGAAAATTATTTCCTTGAACCCAAGTGGTACATTAAGTTTCTTGGTTAAAACTTGCTGCAGATATTCACATAAATTAAACACAATTTCTAACGGGTCTTCCTGTTCCTGCCTTGCCCCATATTTGTGATATCACAACATTGTCACAGGTTGGTTCCTGAAAATGTAAAATTTTTATTCATAACAATGACATGAGAGTCATCTCATTCTTTTCAGGAAAAAAGATACCCTTTGAATAATAGGAAAGAGGATATATCCATTATCTGTCTATCTATCACCTATCTACCTTTATAATGCATGTAAACACACTTAATAAAATTTGCATTCTAAGATATATGCAAGGCCAGAATTTCATAAAACTTCCTATTATTCTATAAGCAGTTACTATGAAACACAGTGATTATGTAAGTCAACCAAGCAAATCCATTATCTATGGGATTTTCTTATTTCCTCTCTTATACTTATTTTCACATAGATGTCTGAAATAAATGGTAATAATATTAGAATAGGAAAAGATAATTTTACTTTATAACAATGATAACTTTTCAGATATTAGATTTTATATGAAAATAAAGGGATACTACCAACAAAGTTGGTCTGTGGGTTAGCATATCTCTTTTATTTATTTCAAAACAACCCCTGCCCAAACTTAACTTTATAGCGCATTTAAACTATAAAAACTAACAATTGCCCTTGGTTTAGATAGCAAAGTGAATCACCTTGCCTCCTAATTCTCATACCATTGGAACAATTTCAATTTCCTGACCTAGTTCTACCCTATCACTAAATTTCAAAAATTAATTTAAGCATCATCACATTTCAAAGTTATTTCTTAACAGTCCTAAATTCAAGCTCTGAAAAGCTTGGCCAAAAATTGTTCCTTTAAGGCAAAAAACAATAGAGTGTAGACGAATATTTTTTTGTACTAATTTCAAGAAAATTAGTACAAAAATTACATTAAAAATTAACTAATTAAATGCTAAGACTGTGTCCCTTTTATAAAGAACCAAATGTAAAATTTCTGCTTGCCAAAATTCTAGACCCAGTTTTAGGTAGACTTTGCCTGTTTTCTTCCAAAGTACTTGTGGTGAATTGGGGTGCCCATGGTAGCGACAGATGATACTTTAGGATGGATAGTTACATAAACTTTTGAGTTTGATCTGAGAACACAGTGAAAAGTAGTGAAGTTCTCCATTAGTTTTCTCCAAAACGAATCCTGGTTTGCTGACTACCAACCCTGATATTGTCAGTGGTTGAGAACTAACTGTGGACTGGAATTTTTCTCAAAAAGAAGTATTAATACATTAGTCCGTGAAGCCAAAAAATACATATTATTGTTTCTACTCCTCACATCATCCTGTACCTAACCAGGTGGCTGGATGATAGGTTCTCAGTTGGTTCAGTGAAAAAGTGTGACATTGAAAATGTCACATTTAAAACAACAGCATTTAACAACTCCCATTTAAAACAACAACAAAAAATACGTAACAAAGTATTTGTTTTCACAATCCAGAATCCAACCAATGCTAACTGCAAACTCAAATGTTTCTGAAGTCCTCTGACAAAAGAACAACCTATTTTCTTACCATGATGTTTTTTATTCAGCATATTGATTTCTACAGTTATATACAATTTTAATTAGATGTTAATTCTGAAATGAGATGTAAGGCAGTATAGCTGTTTTATTTACATTTAAGATATTTGTAAAAATGTGTGTGTTTATTTGTGTGGTATTCTCAGAAAATGTTATAATATTGCTGAACATAATTTTTATAAATCAAAGGTTTTTAAAACAAAAAGAATTTTACATCTTATTCACACCAAATGTCACCCCACTTGAATGATTTACCAGTGGCTGAACACAACTCCACACACTTAGAATAAGCTCACTCTTTTCCACCGAACTCAATTTCAACCTCTGTTGATTCACCTGTTCCCTTTTCTCTCAGTCTACAGGATTGTGCTCTAAATCTCAAATTTTGAGTAACAACTGTTTCCTTCTGACTAGGGTCAGATACTGGAAACCTTCCTTTAGTAGTAGAGTTTCTGATTTCTGTTAGTTAGATTGGAATAAGACCCATCTTCTCAGACTGCCTAATTGCCTGCCGTTCTGACCCAGCGCATTTTTTTTTCCTGTGTGTCCTCTGCTAGAAGCGATACCACAAACCTTGGCCTGACTCCCAAATGAATCTCCCATCCTCTTTGCACAACACTTACCAGTTAATATAGAAATATTTGAATCTGATTTTTCAGAAAATATGTGCCCCCTAAACTCAACTCTCAAGCTTTTTGTGTTCTTATACTTTTCAGTGGTGCCCCGTGAAACGGTAATGGCCTTTATATGGTAAATAAATAGACAAATAAAATCCCTTGCTTTCTCAACCTGTTTTGTGACATTTCCCTACATCTTGGCTTTAACTGAAATTTGCTGTCCTATGGGATGACCGCAGCATGCCTCAAGCTGATGTTATTCATTCTCCCACACATCTCATATCACTGGGTCAGGAAGTGGGAGTCGGCATTCTTTTCACTCCACAAAGCTGATTCCTGACCATTGCCCTGATCCTCTTTGGAAACTCCCTTGCTCATTTGAAGCTCGGGATGTTTGGCTCCTTACCAAATCGCACTAATCACTCTCAGTTGAGTCCTGGGGACTTGAATATATCACTCACAGAGTTTCTCCCTATCTCAGATCCGGCCACCACCTTTTAGTGTACTTCGATATTCACATTTTGGCCTATCCAGCCCTCCAGATTCTCAGTCCCTTTACTTTATTTGGTGTAAATCACATACTCCTATGGCTGCACCCAGAACTTCATCAGCACCCAGAACAATATTACTTCATATTCTTAATTTCAGAATCCCACTCCTAATGCTTTTCAAATCTTTTATTCGGTTATCCTTACTATACATTTTATCATATCTGAAGTCAACAATCCATTGATTTATTCTTTTGCTCCATCATCACCTCTTTTCTTTACTTTCCTATCTGGCAGTATGATCCATCTTTCAACCTTTCCTGGACAATATCTTCAGATAATTTGCCCTGTACTTCTGTAAACTTTATCCATGAAAACTGCAATTTGAGACCCAGTAATTGATGTACCTAAGCTCATGAATATTGCTGGAAAAAAAATCACATAAGCCAGCTTATTAACTTTAAATTTTGCTTGGCCCCACATGCTTTTTGGTAGTTCTTCAAAATTTCTCTAGTTAGATCTCTCTTTAATTTGCCAAGTTGGTTATATTAGAATTTCTCCAGGCTCGTATCATTTCACCTGAAACCTTTTTTCTTGGCAGATAAAATCAGCTTACAAATTTGTGGAAAAATATAAGCAGTCAAGAGGGAAATTCCTTAGGCTATTTGCTATGTATAGTTAGTTATTTGCAATGAACTCCTTCTTTTTGCTCTTCTGTTGCAAAAGAAGATTCATGCCTTCCTTTGTCTACTTTCATTCCTTTCAGTTTGGTTGAGTTCCATATATTCACTCCTCATATATCTTTCTACACTAATTATCCCCTTTTCCTATATTTTCTATTCTTCCTACTGATTCTTTTCTATAACTTTCAACTTATTTTATAAGTCTTCCCTATCTTAACAAAATTCACTCTTGCCCTATGTCTCTTTTCTTTTACTGTCTTCTTTTTGACATTTTATAGAACATCTGGCATTTCATCTAACTGGCTAAATATTTTTAGAGCTCTCTACAACATTTTTCTTACTCCTACACTTTCCATTTATTTTTGAACAAAGTTGTGACAGGTCACTTCAACAAGACATGCCACCATACATAGCAATATTTTTATTGTTAACAACAATGCCATATTTAAGTCTTCATCTTATATATAACCTCTCTTTAAAATTTAGAGGTAAAAACTGCTCTAGTTTTTGAAACATGCTCATTTTTTTATTCTTATGATACTATACTCTGCTAGTTTTTCCAATATATCTCCTCTTCCTGTTCTTCCTCTTCTTCCTCCTAAATTCTTCTTCTGTTTACTCTGTACATTTTTGTGTTACTCAGGGCTGCTTAGGTTTTCTTCTCTCCACATTCTACACAGTTTACCTTGCATGTATCCCTTGACTACAAACCCATCTACATATCCCTTAACTGTAATTAAAATATATATTGTAATGATCTAAAAAAAAAATATATATATATATATATATATATATATATTTGAGACAATCACTATCATGTATGGTAGACTTGCTGCCATCTACCCTTCAGAAAACTCTGTGACAGGCATGCATACTCCTTCTATCACACCTTCCACTGCCAGTCATTCACCAAATTCTACAGATTTTCAAACCTCGGCATGTTAATCTCATGTCCATGATTACTATCTCACGTCACATCCTTAAAGCTCTTGTTTTAGTGTATTTTGTGTTACTGTGAAGGAATACATGAGGTTAGGTTATTAATAAAGAAAAGAGGTTAATTTGGCTCATGCTTATGGAGGCTGTGCAAGAGGCACGTCACCAGCATCTGCTTGTCATTTGCTGAAGGATTTTATGCTGCATCAAA